AAGGAGTAACTCCGAATCTAAGACAGATAACGAAATTTTCGTAATGACCTTTTCTGCAGATCTCAATTAGCTGTCCAGAAAAGGTAATGACCAAAATTACGATATCAGCCCCAGATCACGAGCTATTAACGAGAAATGACTAACAGGCAAAAACCGATCTCACAGTTGCGCCATTGATTTCTCATCGAAAGCAATTATTTAGCAAATAATTTTACAGAGTTATCGCTGACGTCTTTATCATAAAAATTCGCGCGACATTGATTAAAAATAAAATTAAAAATCTTATATTCGCGTAAACTGCAGAAATTAGTAAAAACTTGAAAAATGAGAAGATATCGTAATGAGACAGAGATGATTCAGTAATTAATAATTGAATAATTATTAATTGATGATACATTAATAATTATTCAATTAAATTATTAATTGAATAATTATTTAATTGTTGGGAAAATTGAAATATGATGAAGCCGATGATTCTGAAATTGGACAATCATATACCAATAAAGATAGATTGAATAAAAAAATCAGGTTTTGCGCGGCGCCAATGGCCTGCCTTGACGTCCATTAAGGGATACCCATACCTTGTTCTCTCCTGCCAGTTTTAGTAGACACACACAAAAAACCAGAAAACGTAAAAGGCAAAAGGTATATACGTTCCCGTGGAAGAGACTCGAAAACCAGTTCACGCGGGGCGGGGGTATCCGAGATACATGTCCCTTTGGTGTTCTCCGTTCTTCTTATAATTTTCCTTCCTTTTTTTTTCCCCCATTTTTTTTTCCACTTTTCTTTTTGTTGTTTGAATACCTACGCCATTGCGCCCTCCTGGAGTCCCTCACGGTGAGTAAGTATTTCTAAAGTGTGCCTCATTGACTCGCGATACTGTGGACTTTAACATGCGTAGACTCCTCTTTCTGCAAGTATTCTCCATTTTTTTTTTTTTTTTCAAATAAATGTTTTTATGCTCCCCGCGTGTGCACCATGTGCTTTATTTTTGTACGCATGTCAGAGAGAAAATAATGAGATCGCCCAACCCAACAATTATATTTCCACCCAGAAATCGGAATTCATCAAATCGCGTTAATAAAGTGCGCAGTAATCCCGATAATTCATCAATTCAAATATTATTCCCCCCTTCTCGATTACGAATTCAATAGATCCATTCAATAAC